GTCTACACTACAAAACTAAGTCAATTTAAGTTGACATATGCCACTGCAATAATTAAAGTGGTGTTTCATGTTCACACTATGCTCCTTCTGTTGGTAATGCACATCCTCACCAGGAACGTTTCCACCTACTTAACTGTGTGGGGCATTGTGGGGCACTGACAGCTGGACTTTCTCCTGCCCTGGGGCTGACAGCCCAAGCTATGAAACCCGCATGGGGCTGACAGCTCGGCCTGTCAGCCCCGGGGCAGGAGGATTCCAGCTGTGAGCCCTGCATGGGGCTCACAGGCAAAAGAAGATGTAAATAACATGGTGTCTACATGAACATTGTGTCGCCCTAAGTACGTCGACCTAAGCACTACGCCTCTTGTGGAGTGGAGTATGAATTCCTGATCTTACCCATTGCAGGAAGAGTTCTTCATCTTAGATGGATTTTCAAAACAAGAATATTCTTTAAAAGAGACACCATTAGCTTCAAATCTAGTCAAAACTGTTTTACTAAGGCATAGTCACCTTGCTCACTTTCCGTGTTTGTTATACCTCTTTCTCTTTGCTTTGTCTATTTGTTTGCCCTTTTTTTACATTGGGAGATCTTTGGGGAAGGTACGATCCAGGCTTTCTTTTTTGTTTGTCCAGCAGCCAGTACGTTGTGGGTGCTACATTTTACAATTGCAGTTTCCTATGTTTTCTCCCCACTGCTGCTGTGTGAAAGACCCACACAGTTAGGAGAAATTGACTAGCTCAGGCCCTGATCCCAGAACCTGCCCACATGATAGGAGCCCTATGCCTGTGCAAAACAGCTTGCAGAATCAGGCATAATACGGGTGGCGAAACTCTGAAACTATCTATGAACAATGTTACATCTGCAACTCCATATAAGCCAATCATCCCTTTTTCATTTATGAAACTTCAACTGGATGAAGACAACAAGAAAATAAAATCACAAAAATGAATCAAGCTAACATAGTGAGTGGATCCTTATTTACAAGGTGTATTGGGCACAACTCATTTTGGAGTTCAGTTTCTGAGGCCAGCTGCAGTTGCCGCTACAGGATCCGTCAAATGTTCCATACCTTAATGATGTAGTAACCGTTTACGCCTGGGAGAATTCTTCACAAAAAAATTAAAAATTCTACACACAATATTTTAAAATTCTGCAAAATTTTATTTGTCAAAATAAAAACAAAATAATCATGCCAATTTCAATTATATTGATAATTTATTTCAAAATACCAGTCAGGAAGTATGTCTGTAACAATACAGACAAAAAAAAGATTGCACCAGGAGTAGAGTTAAAGAAACCCCTGTGCCCACATGGATCCTCACTGCAGGATCAAGGTATAAGTTACCCTAAAGCAGTGGTTCCCAAACTTTAACAACCCGCGAACCCCTTTCACTAAAATGTCAAGTCTCGCGAACCCCCTCCTAAAAATGAATATTTCCAGGAATTTTCTCCCTTACCTGAGCATAAATTATAAAAGCAGTGATCTTGGAAATATAAAATTTGTTTTTATGACATGCTTATTACACACTATTATTATTTATCATTACAGTAATTTTATGACATTATGAAAACGGCAATACTCTTCCAAGATCTCACTTTCGTAGCTTGTATCACTTTGATTAAGCCTGTTATAAGACAAGGCTTCTATGTTTCATCAAGGAGTATCAGATGTGAAACAGCATGAAGGTATTTAAGAAGCCAACTCAAAGAGTTCCTCCTACACAAGCATTTAGGTCTTGAGCAGTCCGGGCAAAGAACACACGTTACAACAAAGCTTAAACTTGTTCTTCATAATAATTTTAAAAATAATCCTAGCTACCTATTTAATTTTAAAAACAGCAAAATATTTCCACCTCTCTTTCCATTTCTTATAAGGAGTGTTGAAGTTTAAATCTCCTCAGTGTGATAGATATGCTTGCTTTGATCTGCTTAGCTCTAGGAAGTCCGCAGGGCGTCGGGCTGCTGGCCCCGTGCTGCCCAGGATCCCTAAGGACACCTCTGTCCACCATTAGGAAATTTTTGCCCAGGAACCCCCTGTAACATTTCGGGAACCCAAATGGGTTTGTGAACCACTGCCCTAAAATAAGAGATGGGAAGGAAGGCAGAGAGCAGATTAGTTAGTTGAAATCATAGGCGCCGACTTCCCCTCTGCCTGGTGGGTGCTTGACCTCCCCGGCCCCGCCCCTGCACCGCCCTTGCCCCACCCCTTCCCCAAAGTCCCTGTCCCACCCTGCCTTTTCCCACCCCACTTACAATTACTGCAACCATTATTACTGGTTTTGAAAAGTATCTACCATGATGGGGTGGATCTAAGTAGTGAGGCGGGTGAGCTACTTTTGCTACTATGGTGCCACAAGTACTCCTCGTTCTTTTTGCTGATACAGACTAACACAGCTACATCTCTGAATTCTAGCTCTTGTAAGTTTGCTGTTGAATGGCACACGCACTCACACCCTGATGCACTCCTGGCACACGCACTCACACCCTGACACGCTCCTGGGTCATGCACTCACACCCTGACACACTCCTGGCACACACGCTCACACTGAGGCACTCCTGGCTCATGCACTCACACCCTGACGCACTGCTGGCACACACACTCACACACTGAGGCACTCCAGGCTCATGCACTCACACCCTGACGCACTCCTGGCACACACGCTCACACACCGAGTCGCTCCTGGCACACACACTCACACCCTGACACACTCCTGGCACATGCACTCACACGCTGCGGCGCTCCTGGCACATGCGCTCACACACTGCGGCGCTCCTGGCACACTCACACCCTGACGCACTCCTGGCACACACGCTCACACACTGAAGCACTCCTGGCTCATGCACTCACACCCTGACGCACTCCTGGCACACTCGCTCACACACTGAGGCGCTCCAGGCTCATGCGCTCACACACTGCGGCGCTCCTGGCACACGCGCTCACACACTGCGGCGCTCCTGGCACACTCACACCCTGACGCACTCCTGGCACACACGCTCACACACTGAGGCGCTCCTAGCACACACACTCACACCCTGACACACTCCTGGCACACGCACTCACGCTCTGAGGCACTCCTGGCTCATGCACTCACACACTGCGGCGCTCCTGGCACACGCGCTCACACACTGCG